ACCCAGCAGCTCCTAAGAGGTCATCTCGCTTCAGGCAGGAAGGGCCTCAAACTGCCTGTGTGCCCAGGAGCCCGGAGCCGGAGCACGCGCCCGGGGGGCACAGGCAGCCCGGGGCCTCGGAGGTGACACGGAGAGGCTGTCTCAGGGCAGGGCCTGTCCGTCTGTCCGTTTCCTCCTCAGGCTCAAGGTGGTCCAGAGAGAAGTACGGTGACTGGTCTGTGCTCGCTGTGGCCATCAGCCCACTTCTCCCTCCTCCCTCCGTCAGTGCAGACGCGAGCTCTGTTGGATTCCCGGGATGTCAAAGCGCTGCCTGCCCGCCCCCCCGCACCCCGCCGCTGGGTTGCGGGCTGGATCCCCAGTCGGGGAGAGGGAGGGCGAGCAGGGGGCAGCCGATCAGTGATTCTCTCATCATTGAGGTTTCTCTCTCTCTCTCCCTCTCCCTTCCTCTCTAGAATCAATAAAAATAAAAACACACAGAGGGAATCGACAGATCAGCGGTCACCAACCAGTGGTCTGTGAGATCTGAAAGGTTGGCGACCGCTGGGTTAGATGAAGCAGAGGGTCAAATCCAATAGGAAGGCAGCGATGTGCCCCCCCGATGCCCACGCACAGCACCCCACACGCCTTCAGGGCCACTGCTCCGAGAGACTGGTCCTGGGCGCACAGCCCCCCGCCCCCAGGCTGTGCGACAGAAGGACACGTCCCCGGCGCTCACGCTGCGTCTTTATTAGCCGACGTCCCCCCTCCTAGCGGACGCACAGCGACCGGCACCCAGTCCCCGCTCCCACTCCATTCCTGCGTGCAGGCGGGCGGCACGGTCCCTGGACGGAGCCCTCCCTCCCTCTCCACACGATAGGACCCGCCGGCTGAGGACCAGGCAGAGGGAGCACGGAGCCACCCCGTCCGACTGCAGGCCGCTCCGTCCAGCCTCACGCCCAGTGCAGGGGACACTGTCAGTCCTGAGCTCTGTCCATACTCCGTCCGGGGACAAGGGTGAGGCCTCTGACCCGAAGGGGAGGTGAGCGCAGGACGGCCACAGCCGGGGTCACACCCTCAGCCCACAGCCCTCAGCCCTGCGGCCTCGGAGCTGCCCCGTCCGGGGGGTGAGGGGCCGGCCAGGACGCCCCAACTAGGAGGGGGCTGCCCTGCCGGGCCGCTTCTCGGTGAAGAAACTCTTGAGCAGCAGCACCTGGCTGACGCCCACCAGGCACAGGGCCACGGTCTCGCCCAGAGACCAGTAGGAGACCCGGCTGTGGAGGTCCTCCGCCCGCGCCCGGTCCTGGGCCTCCCGGAGCCGGTAGTGCGTCTGGGAGTCGATCACCGTCCGCAGGGCCTCGTGTATGGTCACGCAGGCGGACTCCATCTGGGGGAGGGGAGAGGGTC